CAAGAGTGAAGTAATTGTGGCTGTCTTCAGACTAAGTAGACCAAGGGTGAAATCACAGCCTTGACTGAGCAGAACTCTCATCTCCGAGTGAGGACTTGGGAATGCTTGGGTCCATGGTTTGGGTTGCATTTGTTCTCATGCTCCAAGTTCATGAGACTAGCCTAAACATTTGGGTTATGTTGAATTTACAGTGTTTGGACTCTTTGCAATTTGTTGTGAGAGTAAAACCTATCACTAACCTGGGTTTTTTGATATAGGGATCAGAAGCCCCAGATTCTGGTCTGGTGTGGCAGAGCTCAGGGTGCAGTGGGAGCAGGTGTCCTGTGACCTGGGACTGCTGCGCTGCATGGCTCTTGGCTTTGTGTTCATCGGTCACACCCTTTATTGCCATAGGTGTTTCCAAACAAGACATTCGTGAGCAGATTTGGGACTACATGGAGTCGCAAAATTTAGCTGATTTTCCCCGGCCTGTTCATCACAGGATTCCCAACTTCAAGGTACTGAGGCATTCCCGGAACATTCACGGGGAAGCACGCTATTCCTAGATGAGTAACAATAGTAACTCAGTTACCATCCTGCTTCACGGTGGATTTAAACTCGGTGAGCAGTGAGTGGTGTGAAATCCGAACCAGATGCCAGGACTTTTGTGTTTTGAGATGCCCCTCATTGCGTTAACCTGCACCCTCAAGTGCCTCTTCCTTTTCTGTGCAGGGTCGGTGGGTGGGTTGCATCTTGCCATGAGGTGGTGCTAAGGTGGTGCTGACAGAGGAAAGGGTTTCTTTGGCCAAAAGCTGGAGATTGTTGTGGTGCTTTTCACACAGTTGGCTCCCTAAGAAGCCCAGTGAGGCTGCTTCTCAGCTCTTTCCACCCTGGCTGCTTCCTTAGATGTTTCTCAGGTGACCCTGGATCTTGTCTCAGAATTGGCCCACATGCCTGTTTGGGTGAGATGCTAGAGCATCAGGCTGTGGGCGGCCCAGTGTCGTGTCCTCTCAGTAACATGCACTTGCATTTAAAAACAGGGTGCTTCTCGGGCTGCTGAGCATTTCCCACGCTTACAGGCGTTCAAAATGGCCAGAACCATTAAAGTCAATCCTGACGCTCCCCAGAAAAATGCCCGCTTCTTCGTCCTGGACGTAAGTGCACCTCTGTCTGTCTGCTTAACCAGGGCTCTTATGTGGCTTGCCAAAACATCAAAGACCTCGAGGCTTTTGCCAGAACGCAGGAAGTTAAAGTGGACCCCGATAAACCGCTGGAAGGCGTCCGGCTGCTGGCGCTGCAGGTAATCCCATTTCCCCGAGCTGGAGCCCTGGCCACTGACCAGCCCACCTTCCCCAGGTGCTGGCAAGTGTTCACAGTCCCACATTTAGAGGATGGTGCTTATGACTCCCTTCAATGCAGAACGTGCCCTGGGAGTCGTTTTTTCCAGGACTGTCTGGAAGTTTTTCATCATCAGTCAAAAGTCCTGAACATTTCTGAGTTCAAAGAGAAAGCACTTTGAAACAGTGACTTTGAGTCATCCCAGTTCTGATGTATCTATCAGAAGAGAATGATTACAATATGTGTATTTCCTCTGCTACATTTGTAACACTAAAATTCTTTAAAACTTAGGAACCCGTGAGTGAGAAATCTGATAAATGAGTTCCCAAAATATATGAATTAGAACAGTGTTTCTTAGCTTAGATATAATAGGCCCCTTTTTGAGAAAAAAAAATTCCCCCAGGGTTACTTTAACTTATTATAACTTAATCTTGTAAGTATAAGCATAAAACTTGGCATAAATTTTAATGCTCATAGCTCTTATGCAACTGTAAAACCAAAATAAACATGTAAATTAAATATAAGCAAAATTAGAAAAGCAATAGCATTTGGATAACAGCACTCATTTAATGTAACAGCTAATGTTTTTTGCCGAAACAAAGCACTGTTGACAGTGTTAGTGTGGTGCTGTGTATGTCAGTGCAGGGTCTGTGGGATTCTGCCGTCCACCACTCGACCTCAGGTGACGACTCAGGTCCCCCACAGCTCCTGAGAAGCCTCGATCTGTGGGGCGCCCCTCACTCTGGGTGGGGAAGTGCATGCCCTGCAGGCAGGGGTGGTGATGCACAGGCCGCAGACCACACCAGGAGGCATGGCTTCCCAGACCCTCATTTGGTTCTATAGCCTATTCGCAGTAAATGCCCTGGTGGTGTTTTGAGATCCCCTGGCCTGAGCACCCTGGCTGTAAGGTAGCACCTTTCGGGGAACTTTGAAGACTCTCTGTGGCCAGGGACCGGTTCTGAGTCAGGCTCAAGCAGATCGGCTCTTGGTGAGTCTCAGAGTTCCCCAGGGGATCCTAGTGTACAGCCAGGGCTGAGGTCCACAGAGCTGGGCTGAGCAGAGTAGTGTGCAGTGCCCCTAGGATCTGGAGCCTGCAGACAGAGTGACCCCCCTCTGTCACACTCAGAAGGAAAATAGCACGTACTCGTTATCTGTGTTGAAATAATCTTCTTGGGGTTGAAAACCTTTATTTAAGCCAAACTCTGATTTTACAGTGTTTTATTGGTCTTAGGTTGTCATCTCCTGCACAAAAAGTAAAAATGCTGTTTTTACATGAAAGAGTTTACAAGTTGTATGATTGCCTTATGGCCCACCCTGCATAATCTACAGTGGTGGCCTTGGGCCATGGGTCTCGAACTTCTCCTGTGCATCAGAACATACAGTGGGCTTGTCCAAGCAGGTTGCTGGGCCCCGCCCCAGAGCTTCTGATCATTTCTACCGGTGGCCAGGGGCCCCCACTTTGAGAACCCTTGCTCTGGGCCTCACAATAGACATTTGAGAATTAAATAGAAGAAAAGGGCTATCGTCATGGGTCAGTTTTTATATATTGATTGTAACAAGTCCTGATCTCTCAGACTGCGATTTACCGAGCAGCAAACTAGATATAAATGCTTGATGGGATGATGTTTTAACGTGGCTGTGCAAGGCTGGCTTCAAATGAAAACATCGTTGTAATTGTACAGTGTGTAATGCTGGCAACAGAAGGCATAGGCAAGCTATGGTTGGAGTTTTAATGAGAACAGACCTTCATTTGGGTTTGCACTGTCGCTTTAACCTGTGACAATTCTGAATGGCAAGTAGAGTAGAGTCAGCAAGCTTTATGACTTGTGACCTGCTTCTGTTTCTGAAGTGTTAAAAACTTACACAAGAAGGTTCCCATGTTGAACTTTGTCATTTATTGACTTTCTTTTAAAAGAGCAAAAAAACGTTGCTGGTTCCAACACCACGACTGAGAACGGGGTTGTTTAATAAGATCATACCACCCCCCGGGGCAACGAAAGATGTCTTGAGAAGATGTGCCACCTCTGAGGTAAGTTTGAGAAGCAGTGCCCACCACTGGGAAGAACCGTCCTCAGCCGCGGCTTCCGGTGAGTCAGAACAGTGCAAATTCACCACAGGGTTGAAACTGTGCTTAACAAACCCAAATGAGGAGCAGCGTTAAAGTAATCAGCAATGTTGTCATTAAAGGAGCTGAGGAGAAAAACTGCAACTCGATTTTCTTTTGCACCAAGTTGGCAAATTGTACATTCCGGTTGAGAAAAGGAGTAGCCAGTTTTCTGGTGCTCTGGCACCCTCCAGTGTTATTCTGTGGTGCCGTTCAGTGTCCCATACAACTGAGGACACGGAGTGGAATTTCCAAAATATGTTCAATGGGAAATTGCCTCACCAAGTGCTTAAGTAATGATGGCTTTGGTAGTTCAGCATCGTGATTTTCCCGACTGCCTCACAGTGTCATAAAGCCAAGCTGTGCGACTCTTACGCTGGGGTGCCTTATAATGGCATTTGTCTAGTTTTTTAAAGGCAGAGAAATAGAATTTGGTGACATTTTTAAAGTTCTAGAGTTGACCCCAGATAATTTGATTTCTATTCAAATAAGAATAAGAAATAGGGCATCAAGATACTCCTTTTTAAAAGGGATTTTCTACTTATGTCTAGTGTATACAGAGTGAATGCTGTATTGTTTATTGATAACCTGGCTTATTCCAAAAACAGACTTTGACCTGGCGTACAAAAGCACATATAATAAAGTAAGATAATAAAATGTGTAGAGAAAAGAGCAAAGGGAAGATAAGCGCAAGAGACACCCATGGTTCTTTCTGGTCAGTGTTCAAAGTGCACACCATGTGTCCGCTGAGGTGGGCAGACGTGGCCACAGGTCTGAGCCCACACCTCGGAGAGCGACAGGGATTGTGATGGGTTACGAGTCGTAGGTTCTGGACAGTGACAGCAGCTCTTTCCTGGGGTTGAGGTCCAGGTTGGACATGGCCGTGGTGCCGGTATAGTGGTCTGTGTCACCCTGAACAGCACCCTGCTCCCCCTTCTGAAGGGACCCGATGCACTGCTCATTGCCGGGAGTCCCGTGAAGCGCCAGCACTGGCTGGTCTCTCACAGGCTCTCCCGACAGCACGGCCCTGCCAGGGTAGAGCCAGGCGGGCTGTCGTGACTGAATCCCATACGGACCGAACGGCGGTGTTTGGGCTCTTTCATGTCATGAGATCCTGGATGGAAATCAGAGATCAAGTCATGGACTTCAAAAAGATTTTCATTTCTTTATGGTAGCGGAAAAAGTGGAGAGGCTCCTAAGGCCACGTCTACATGCAGATGCAAATTTAGTGTGGTTATTATTTAGGTTGTTTAAGTCCCTTACCCATCTGGGGACTCTTTGTGGACTAGAGCAGGACTTTGGGAAGTCAGGAGGACTCCTGGATGCTCGTGCTTTGGTCAGACTCAGCAGGGGAGGCTGACCCACTGGGAGAAGAGGAGGTCAGACAGGTTACAACACAGGAAACACCATGTGGGTGTCGCTCCCTGAGGCTGCCAGGCACCGAGCCCACGGAAACGGGCTTGAGGACGCAGGCTGTGGACGTGAGATGCCTGCCTGCATGGCCGCTGTGAGCTTCAGGGAAGACAGGCTTTCCTACCGCAAGGGTGCCATGGGTCGATAATGGTGGTCTGACTGTTGGGAGGCCCCAGACTAAGCACAGTACTGATCCTGTGAGCAGCCCATCTTTATCCATCGACAGGGCCCCAGATCACATCCGCACAGCATTCTGGTCTAGTTTCCTAGATTTCCCTGTCGCCCGTTGTCAGTCACAGCTGCAGCAGCCTCCCTGTGCAGGCCTCCCTTAGTCAGTGCAAGGGTGGTACTTTGAGTGCTTTCTGGTTGAATGCTTAATACGTCAGGAGTGATCTGCTGTTCGTGAAGAGTGAGAGAGTATTGCCTGGTGAAGTAGTACACACAGTAAACGACCACATCTTACGTGCTCCACGCTTTACCCCCCACTGTCGTTTCATCCCAACACCAGGGGGCGAGGTAGGGCTGGTGTCCCTGCCTTACTGAGGGAGAGACTCAAGCTCAGAGTTTCCTCCTGCAGAGACCGCAGGGCAAGGGGGGATGTGGACCCACTTCCCTGTGGCCCCCGAGCCTGTGTTCTGAACGCTGTGCTCTCTGCCTCCTGGGAGAGGCTGACTTGCTGGACATTATGAAATGACTGTCTTGTTGGCTTGTGCTGTCAGTTCCTCCTGAAGTCTTTGCTGGGAAAGAATGGTGGGCAATGTCCTAAAATGGTTCTGATCCCCGGTTTTCCTGGGCTGCCACCTCCATGGTGCTGAGTGTGTGCTGTGGGGCGGTGAGCTTCCTGTGGGGCTCATTTGGACTCTTGAGTTGTGAGGCAGGGTGGCCACTCTGCTGGGGAGCTCTCAGGCCACGTGTCTGTCCCTCCACAGGGTGTGAGGAACCACAGCGCTCCCGTGGGCTTGGATTCCAGGGTCCTTGTGGACTTGGTGGTGGTGGGGTCCGTGGCTGTTTCTGAAAAAGGTAAGAGTAAGAACAGAGACTCTGGAATGTGCCCACTTACCCTGTAGCTTGCTATTCCTGGTGCCCCTGTCACCTTTCCGACGTTGAAGGTGAGTAATTTCAGCTTTCGGGACGCATGCCTGGCCTCCAGAACCACTGCATCTGTTACTCGCTGTGAAGAACTGACTCCGTTCCTCCCACTCCTGGCCCCATTCAGCACCTTTACAGCATTTTCACTTTTCGTAACAGGAAAAATAAAGTGAGATAATCTCTCTTCGGGTGTTGAAAGATGTCCTTCTGTTCTTAAGTTGACTGGAACTGGAGCTGGATTTATTTGCAGTGTGTCAGTCAAGAGTTGGTTTTGGAGAGCCTCCAGTAGACGGAAAGGACGTTGGGTTCTGGCCCTTGTTTTTGCTGTGAAGCAGCAGCCCCTGGACAGCGGGGTGTCCCGAGCCTGCCTGTGGGCCTGGCACTTCCCGCAGGCGGGTGACAGGGCCGGGGCTTCCTGGGGCCTCCGTCCCCTCCGTCCTGCTCCCCGCAGCCTCAGCTTGGTGCTGTGTGGAAACAAGCTGCTGGTTCTGCCGTGGGCTCAGGAGGCTCCGGGTCGGGGTGTGCAGTGTGACTGGGCCCCGCCTTGCTGGGAAAGCTCCCCCTCCCCGCAAGGGAAGAAGTAAGAGAACCTCCTGCGTCATCATCCGCAAAGCTCTCCTGTGAACGTGAACTGGCCGAAGCCAAGTTCTTCTTTCAAGAGAGGTTCCCAGTAAATAGTTGGTGAGAGAGGCTCTGAGTCCTTCATTCCAAACCCTGAACGCTGTGTTTTTAAATGTTGGCTTTTAATATTGTCACCTTAAGTGGACTCTTTCCCTGCTCCCACTCTGAGCCAGCAGGTGAGGTGCTGTAGGAGTGAGGTGTTGTAGTTCTCAGTCCTTGCTTTCTGTGTGTCCCCTGTCACAGATAATTTATCTGTGACCTCAGGGACAGGTACACAAAAGCACTTGTTTCCTCCACGCCGGCACACCAGCACCAGGCCAGCACTGGGCGGGCTCTGCTTTGGGCTGTCAGTGCGTGGGAGGAACAGATGTGGAGCTGAACTACCTACAATACAGGGTGCTCAGGGCTGGAAACAGAAGCCAGGGTGGACATCAGTGGGCTCGGAGGAGGGACCTGTCAGCCTGAGCAGGGCCCCAGCTCAGTGGTGACCTCAGAGCTGGCTCTGGCCTGCCAGGTGTTTCCGAGGCCAGTGGAGCCAGGCAGGGAGAGGGAGCAGCATGGTGATGTGGTGCGGCCCTTGGTGGTTGGTGCCGGCTTTCCCGAGGCCTGAGGCCGGAGGACAGGCTTCAGGCTGTACTCTTGGCGGTGGGAAATCAGCAAAGGTTTCTTCTTTTAAAGGGACATTAGGATGGATGAACAAAAGAAAAGTGTTTGTAAACATCACTGTTTAAATTAGATAAACTCTCTGATTAAAACAACAAAATTACTATGCATGTTTTAAAAATGTGGATAGCACAGAAAGCATCACTGGGCCACCTTCCCTCTGCCTTTCCCCAGGTGCCCACGTAAGTGTCAGCACGGTGTGAGGTGCAGCTGTCTCACATGCTCCATGTGCTCATCCTGTGCGTTCATCCAGCTCCTTTGCTTGCGCTGCAGTGCTCTGTCCTGCTGCTGGGGTCGCCCAGGCCTCTGCCCGTCAGTGCGGGAGGTCGGCCTCCTGTTCAGCAGCCCTGACTGACAGACATCTGTCTCCAGCGTTGGCTGTGGTCTTTCCCTTGCATATAACACTAGAATGACGTGTAGTCTTATTGTATGGTCTGGGGTGCCCTCAAGGACTACCTTTGGGGTGATTCTTAGAAGAGGGAAAAAACAAAGTGTTTTAAATCCTGATGGATGTTGCCAAATTACCCACCAGAAAGGGTGCCCAGCCCACATCCCGGTCTGTCTGTCTTGCCTCTCTCCCAGCTTCCCTGTTAATAACTAGAATTATCCCACTTTAATTTTTCTGTCTGATAGTGAACCGTGGTATTTGCGTTGCCTCTTGATTTGCATCTAGTATGGGTGAGGCTGAACATTTCTCCTGTGTTCACCGTCCATCTGCCTATCTCTCTGGGCTGTTCATACCCTTTGCTGTTATGCTGTTGCATTGTCTTTCTCTTGCCTCTTTGCATGAATGGTTGAAGGCTTTTCGTGGTTGAAGCAGCACGGCCAGGTAGGAGTCTCAGAGGGACGCAGGAGCAAGGTGTGTGCACACTTGGCGGTGATGCCTGTGCCGAGTAGAAGTCAGAAGTCCTGAGCCGGCCTGGGTGTCCTGCTGAGAGGGGCTTACCTGGGGGCTGAAAGGCGTGCCAACACCCACTGTCTTGCTGCGTCCTTTGCCCCTGCTTAGCTTGTCCTTCACTTTAGGTAACGAGTCCTTTCCTCCTGTCACATTTTGAATTCACAAGATAGCACTAGTGCTGCTTAAACTGCTTCCTTCCGGGCTGCAGGGCTGCTCGGCTGCTCCGGGCCGCTCCTTGGTGCTTTTAGCGGCAAGGCTATTCCATTTCGCCTCCATATCACTGAGCTAGACATTGTATTTTCCCTCCAAGATGAAGAAGATTTGCCTTTAGTAGGAATTTGTTTGTAGCCTTTTAAAAATCTACTCTTTTCATTACTTCTAAGTTGAGCTCCACTAATGTACAGCTCACATAAGTGCCAGCTCAGTCTCCTTTGTAAAGGAGATGCCTCTGTGTTGGCAGGATTCCAAGTTCACTTCAGTGTGTGTTGACCACGCGCCAGGTCAGTGTGGCTGTTCCTCTCACTCCTCTGCTTTCGCTGGGCTGCTGAGGGTTACCTGGAAGCGTCTGTGAAAGGATCAGGGATACCGGGTTCAGGTCTCTCCTTCCGTTGTGACCCGATGAGAGAGGTGCTCTGCACGATTCCCCAGACCCCACAGAGGTGCTCACTCTCTGCATTGCCTCTTAGGCTGGAGAATTGGAAAGGGAGAAGGCTATGCTGACCTTGAATACGCCATGATGGTGTCGATGGGAGCAGTCGGCCCGGGGACGCCAGTGGTCACCATCGTCCACGACTGCCAGGTGCTTCCTGGGGACAGGCCCAGCAGAGCTGCCGCTGCGCCCTGAGAGCATGAAGAGCATGACAGGCGGGGAGATGGGCCTCTGCCGTCGCTCCGTGCCCCGTCTGCCATGGCGTTGCTCGTCCAGGCCCGGTTCGCCCACTGGCAGGGCAGCTGGGCTTTGTCCGCCGGGGTTTGGGGGACATGGAGCTTCCGCCAAGCGGTACAGTGAACACGGCTGGAGCTGTTCCCCTTCAGCTCTCTTACCTGCTTCTGTTTGACCAGGTTGTCAACATACCTGAAACACTCCTTGAGGATCACGACCTCACAGTGGACTATATCCTCACCCCAACGCGAGTTATCACCACAGGGTGTGAGCGCCCTAAGCCAGCGGGAATCACATGGTCCAAGGTGGGTCACTGTGGCAGGCAGCGTGGCCAGCACCAGCCTGTGGCGTACAGACGCCTCCGCTTTCCCTGTCTCCTCTGTCTAGCGTGGCTGCCGTCCCCAGGCCTGTGTTGCATGGCTGTGCGTTTGGGTCGCCTGTGAGCTTTTGAACAATTCAGCTTCTGAGTCGGTCTCCATGCGTGGGCCTGAGAATCTGCTTTGCAAACACGCCTGTTCTGACAGGCAGGTGTACTGTCAGCTGATACCCAGAAGTGATCGAGCTGATGCCTTGAATCTGCTTGCCAGCTAGTTTTCCTGTCTAAGAGCTGTCTTCTGCCATCCCGGCTACGCATGGTCCTAAATCATCAGTCTTTCCTTCTGCAAACCCCGATTTTCTTACTGCCGTCTGCATCCCCGGGCTGAGGCAGAGCCTTCGTGAGCTGATGCCTTGGCGACACCTGTCTCCTGAACAGGCTGTGGCACGTGTTACAGGCTAACCTGCAGTCGGGGTTTGACCCCAAGTATCCGCCTTCAGGTTATGATGCTGTCCGCTGGTAGAGAGCCAGCATCACTGAGAAAACAGGAGGCACTGTGCTCCCTTGGGATTGAAACTTGGTCAAATCAGCATGTTTATCCTTGTGTCACATTCCTTAAAGCTGAGTCATCCAGAGTTGGAAGGCAGCCTTCCTTTGGGCGTGGGAATCAATGTGTGTACCTCCAAGGATGAGCCGGAAGAGGGTGCCCCATGAGAGCAGAGGGGAGTACCCAAGACCAGACAGGGCGGGGTGGGACCCTTCAAGTGCACCCTGAGTTCCAGGGAGGAGGCCGTGGCACCCTTCGTGAATATTAAAACAACCCTCTGGACTTTTAGAACTTAGGGTACCTCGGAATTTGGGCACACAGCCCCCCTTTGTGTGGCAGCCGACACACGAGTCAAGGGAGAGAAGTGGCTGTGCTCAGGGGTGAGCGCTTGGTCTGCGGAGGTTACACCAGAGGGGCCTCCCCAGCGAGGCCGCAGGTGCCCTGGGACCAGCGCTTCACAGTCAGGGGCCAGCTGCAGCACCAACTGCGCCAACTGCAGTGTGGTAGGGAGGCGCAGGGGGCCTCTCCAGGGAGAGAGACGTGTGGCCTTGGAGAAGAGCTGCAGGTTTTAACAAGAAGAAAACAAAAATAGCGACTACTCAGGTTATCAGTTGTGTTAGAGGAATGTGATCCCTCTTGTTGAAAGAAAACCGAACGCAGGCCCAGCCTCCTGAGACACCCCGGCCATGCTGGTGCCTGCGGGGTCCTGGGCTGTTCCGCCTGTGGACACCTCGGCTTTGTCCTCTGCTGAAGGGCGCTAGTTCCTGGTGGGGCCTTGGCGAGATGCCCAGCAAGCCAGCTCTCATTTTGGGTCCTGTGTTCCCAGTGCCTCTCCTCCCGGCTGGGCATCCCTCTGCACAGGTCCTGTGAAGGCACGGATGCCTCAGCCCTTCGGTTTTTGTCATGACCTTGCTCTGGGTGCAGCCAGAGTGTGTTTTCATCGACGATGGGGAGGAGGCCCCTAATTCCATTAAGACTGGGGGAGGTGGAGGGGGCAGTCTGTTTCAGGTTGACCGCTGGCACGTGCCGGTAAGTCCTTGCACGACGCTCCACCCGTAAACTCGTTGTCATGTAGGCATCAGAATCCAGAATCCAGGAACTTGCCTCTTGTCTATTTCATTGGAGTATCTGGAATTCATTTTTTTCTAAACACTGTAGCCCTCTCAAATGAAAGGTTGTGAAACAAGTACAAAATGTGGCGCCTTAAAAAAAAAACTCATTCTTAATACACAAGGATTGTGCAGCATTTGATTCCCTGGCCTTTGCTTCCACATCTCAGGAAGTGTGAGTGCTGCCCCAGCCCACCAGGCTGGTTTGGTATGGACTCTGGTTACCACTCTAGGTACTTCGAGCAGTGGATCCCCTCAACCTGCCTTCCAAGTCCACGTGGGCCTTTCTCGGCTCATGTCTTGTGGTTTCAAGGCCAGAAGGCGTGTGGTTTAGAAGCTTAGAGCATAGAAGTGGCAGTGGCCCACTGAGTGGTGGTGTCTGAAACCAGGGCACACCCTCTCCAAGTCCCCCGTTTGTTGACTGTAAAATGGGGACACTCAACACTGATGTTTCAGGCGGAGGCAGGACCTGGTCAGCTGGGCTGTCACAAGTGCCGAATGGTGGTTAATAATTGCAAGAGATCTGCCTGGATGTGGCTGTGTGGTTTTTCTTCTCCTGGCTGCCAGCAGATTCCTTAACTGAGCCAGGATGGCCCTGCCCACTCTCTCCACAGTGCCTTGTCACCATGTGCCCTTTATTGCCTGTCAGTGAGAAGGAGGGCAGAGGCACAGGAAGGAGAGAGGCACAGGGAGATAGCTTTTCCTTCCTCCTTCTGGAAGGTGTGACTGCTCTGAGCACGTGGGTCTCTGTCTCTCGCACTCTCCTCGCCCTTGGCCACGTATGAGTTGCAAGACACACAGCCGCTCCAGCCCATCCGCCTGAGAACCTGGGGCTCCCTGAGTCCACCTTGGGGAGAGGAGGGCTCGAGGATGGAGCGAGAGACCTGGCATTGAGGTGGGAGTGTGGTTCTGAACCTCTGAGCACTCTTCCAGCTCAGTGGCCTTTTAGTCTCTGGGACCATAATCCAGACGTCCCTCCCTGCGGACGGCCGTGTGTCAGACGATCTGTGAGGGGCCGCCTCACAGATGGAACCCAGGGCACCTGGGAGGTCGTGCTCCCTGCCACCAGGGCCCCAGTCCAGGGAGCATCCTCCTCTGCTCCCCGCAGTCGTTGCCGTAAGGTACCAAGGAGAGCAGCATGACGCCATTGGCCAGAACCTGAACAACTAACTTTCTTGTCAACTCATTTTCTCCTTAATTAAGGAAATGGGATTCTGCCAGGGCCGTTCTTGGGCTTAGACACAAAGAAGCAAATACTTCTGTAGCTTCCACACCGTGTAGCCTGTCCACCCCTACCGGTCTGCGTGGGAGGGCCATTCTCAGAGGGTCGGAGCATGCCGCATTGACTTCTGAAGGGTGGCGGGCGCCTTGGGAACAGGATTCAAGGAAAGCACCCCTGCAGGCAGCAGCAGTCCTGGCACCTTGAAGCTCAGCTCCCCGGCCCACACAAACACTCGTCCGATGCTTTCATTTCGAAAGAGTGACTGCACTTGATCTAGTAATTCATCTCGTAGGGATCTGTCCTAGAGAAATACTTATAAACTCAGATAAAGATATTTGAGTACTCAGGTATGCAGTGCCCTAGAACGGGGAAAGTTAGAGACCTAAATGCCAGTAGGCTGTGCATACAGCCTTGTTAAAGAATGTTTAATGGCATGAGGAAATGTTTGTGGTATAAGAAATTTTAAGTGTAAAAAGCAGAATATAAATTTATATATGTTTGATGTGTAATTTTGTGTTTTGCTTAGTATGTTAAAATATGCATAGAAAAAAGACAAAAGGAAACACACTGGAAGATTAACAGTAGTTATCTCTGTGGGATAGGGTTTCAGATGTGTTTTCTACTTTTTTCCCTCAAATTTCCCACAGCCAGTATGTATTACTTTAATAATCAAACTATTTAGTGGACAAAACATTGAATTTTATGACTGTTTTCCAAAGCAGACTTTTCAGCTTTAGCTATGTTTGAATCCAGTTTTGCAGAATCAAGGTGTGGCCTCTGTTCTCAGTGTGCTCTCCGGAGGTAAAAATGAGAACTCGAGACCCAAAATAGTTAAATATGTACCAGTTCTTAGAAGTCATACTTGTGTGAGTAGGTGACACTGGCTCATCCAGGATGTTGTGTAAAGCTTCTGTCTGTGTGTGAAGTGGGCCACGCACACGGGCCGCTCTTCTCCAGGGGCCGGCGGTCTGGGCTGTGGGGTGAAGCCGAGAGCCACTGGGGCAGGCGTTTGTCCCCCCAAGCTCTGAATTGCCCGGTGGGAGGGAGACCGCACTACTCCTGTGGGCCTGGCATTCTGCCCCCGACTCAAATCAGGACCAGGCGGGAGCCACGGCATGCAGATGGAAACTGGCATTTTGTAGCGCAGGTTGTAAGGTGATCGTGTCTACCAGAAAATGAAAAGGTTCTTTACTAAAACAGTTCTTAGTGATGTCCGTGGCTGCCACCAAGCAGCCACCTCTTCCTGACCCCAGGGGTGGTCCAGTGGGGCAGTGGTGTGCTCAGGGGCCAGCCCGTCCTGCGCTCCCACTGCAGAGGGGCTGGCCCTGTAGGGCCTTGTCTACTGAGCGACATCTGTGACCAGTTATGTGCAGAAAGGTGTGTTAAACAAGCCACATTGCAATTAAGAGATACTGTCCTTAGAAAACCCCTGAATGACATCCGTGGAGGATGCCGCATTTCCTTTCTCCTCCTGAGCAGGCCTCCTCTAGCAGGACTTCACCTCGGTCATTGGGAAGTGTCTAAAGCATTTTCATCAGCCATGGTAGGCGCAGACTTGTACAGGAGAACTAGTGATTTTTGTGGAAGCTGTAGTTCACGTTAGAGATGCTTCTGGTGTTTCTGTGTGTCTTTGCTGTCCTAGCATTATTGAGAGAGAAGGAGCTTAAAGGTCCTCCTTCTCAGGCTCCTTTATCTTCCACTCAAGTGAAGTGGGAACCAGAGAGAAAAGCAGCTTACCCCAAAATGTGACCCCAGTGTGGCAGAGGTGAGGTTAGAACTGAGTGTCTTTTTCTGGGCAGATGCCTTTGTGTTGGACTTAGCACCTGTTTCTAGTGCTTTAAATTTAACCTTTAAAGGGGACACATGTTTATAATTGACTGCCATCCACATGCTTCAGCGGAAGTGATTGTACCGTACCAAAAAAAAAGTATCACTTTTGCTTTATACTAACTTTTCAAATGGAGTGATTACAGAGAGCATAATCTTTTTATGTTTGATTAACAAGCAAAATCTTCTGTTTCACGTGGCAAATTGACAAAATGTAATAAATGTTCTGAGTTGCCAGGCAGGGAAGATAGAGTAGCATTGCCGCGGGCCCTGCGTGGGGGTCCAGCCCATCCACTTGGCTCTTGAGGCTCTTCTGTCAGCCGTGGAACTGCCCTCGACCCCTGCTGTCCCCTCCCATGGAGCGCAGAGATGGCAGAGGTGGCAGGCGGCTGGAAAGTGGCAGAACCCGCCTGGTGATCAGGGAGATTTCTCCTTCAGGACTCGTGGAGGGCGGAGAGGGAGCCAGCATTGAGCTTTGTCGTTCTTACCCAAAGAATGCAGGGCTCCTGAAACAGCAGTCTCACATGAAAGCCGTGCGTCTCTGCGTTTCCATCCCCAGAGACCCCTGGTGTGTGCCTCCGTGGCCGCGCTGTGGACCCGGGCGGTTCACGGTGCACGCTGGTTGCTTTCCTGATTCTGTAGCTGATGGCCGCTTGTAAGTGCGCCAGCTCAGGATAAGGTAGCGCCAGGGAAGGGCACAGAAGGATGTGTACTCCCTTCACACACATTTCAGCATGGATTCCTGCTTCTTGAGTGTGGAGCCTTGCCCCGTGGGTCAGGCTTCCTGAGAACACACACCTCTGCCTCAGGTAGCCCTGTGGGTCCCCTGGGCAAAAACCCACGGGAGTTTCAGCACTTCAGGGGGGTCACCCGGCCGAGACTGCCTCACGGTGGCCCCGGTGGACACACGGTGTTTACCAGGAGGTGCAGCCTGGTGGTTCCTGCCACTGGTGCTTGGAGTGGGGCAATATTTAGTCTTTCATTTAATGACAGTCGTACTTTCTGTTTGATTGTAATTGCAGTTGATCGGCTTTTCTAAATGCTCAATTTAGTAACTTAAGAAATCCTGAAGAATCTAATTATGACCAGTTTATTTAGGTCTGCTTTAGAAAACTCTGAAAGAACACGAGAATCTGAGCCGACGGAGGTGGACCAGGGACAGGGAGGGAAGCCCAGCTTCTCTCCGGGGTCCTTGATATCCTGCCAAGGATAAGAACCATTACCCTAAGCTATATGTGATCCTGAGTGTACTGAGAGCACTAGTGCTCACTGAGCTGTTTATTTTTGTGGAAGAGCCCGCCTGTCTGCCCGTGTGCTGACTAGTGTTCTGGCTCGTGTCTGGGCAGCCTGTGTTTGGCCCACGCTTGCCTCTTGGCAACTGACCATTAACCAGCTTTGTGTTCCCAACACAACACAGAAAGCATCTCTAAAGAATGAATCATCGGGGGAAGCGCATGAGGTCCTGGGTTCAATCCCCAATACCTGCATTAAAAAATAATAATAATAATTAAATAAAAAGTAAAAACCCCGAAAAGGCAGTATTTAAAAAATGAATTATCAAAAAGAACTGACCATGTCTTTCTGTCCCTCTTCTGCCGTGTGAGTCCTCAAGAGATGTGAGACCAGTTTTGCCCGGGCTCAGTTGTCCAAGCTCATGCTGGCCCAACGGGCAGCCCCCAGTATACCTGCCCTACGGGACGGAGCCGTGGGTGTCGCATTCAGGCTCTGCCTCGAGTACCAGGGCTCTTCTGTTGCCTCCATTGCTGCAGGTGCTCAGGAAACCTTTGCTGATTGATTTGACCAAGAAACTAAAGATGTCCTAAGATGTCCTTTGTATGGAAGGCCTGCTCGTTGAGGTGGAACGTGTGTGCTGTTTGTTATTTTGTAGCTTGATGACACGTTGCTAGAAAGTGTTTTCAGTGTACGGTTCTGCTTCAGATTCGCCTTGTTGGTGCTTTTTCAGTGACGCCTTGATGCATTTGGCCCTTAAGCAGAGGGGCAGGGAGGAGGAGATCCCCATGGCACCATTGAAGACCTCATCCTACCCAAAGGCATAGGTTGGGGGCAGGGGAGCGAGGCACGGAGGCAGAAACCCCCCCATTATCCTGGGGGGTCACTAGGGCAGATGCCATTTGTAACCCCCTAACCTTTATACCAGTGACCTTAGCTCTTCCCTTTCCAGGTGGGAGGCCTCGGTTATCTGCTTCCTGGGCCCCCAGGAAGATGGAGAAAGCTGCCTGTTCTGGCGAGCTGCCATGGTGTGCTGGGCAGACGCAGAGTGGCAGGTGGAGGTGGCTGGCCTGAGTGTGCTCATGTCTTACACGAGCCTCTGTGCCAGAGGCCCCTGAGTGTCTTCCTCCCTCATGACGAGTCTTGGTCCCTTGGGACACCCCGGGACTAGCTGAACTGCTTTACTTTTTCAGATCAGCTGGGAGATGCTGGGGAAAATCCCAATTCTCAGAAGCCTGCGCTGCAGAGAGGAGCAGGCTGGGAAGGATGTCACCCTTCGGGATGAGCCCCGGCACCTTCCGGCCACCCCAAGCATCGTCAGAAAGCCGCGGGGCCTGCCCCCGCCAGAGCTGGGCTCCGGGCAGGTGGAGGATGCGCCTTCCAACACTGTTTATGTCGGGAACCTCCCACGGAACGCCCGAGTGAGCGAGCTGAAGACAGCCCTCGGCGTGCTGGGTGTGGCACCCCTCCGGCTCACCTGGCAGGGGCCACAGCGCAGGGCCTTCCTCCACTACCGGGATGCCGCCTCGGCCCAGCGGGCCCTCTTGTGCCTGCAGGGCTTCCACCTGGGCGCCAATGCCTTGAAGGTGGCACGGGCCAGGCAGCAGAGGGCCAGTGATCTGGTGGGTGGCCATGCTGAAGAGCCACACCCTGACCATCGCCCTAGCATCGCTGACCCATGACCATGTTTCGCTCTGGTCCCCAGCGAACTTCGCAGCCAGCACAGCAGGATGTGGTGGAGCGAGTGCTGCGTGGCCTACTTTGAGTTCAAGCCTTTCTGGGGAATTGGCTCCAGTTACTGCCCTGCAGTCTTCAGAGGAGCAGGGAAGTCAGCCCATAATGCACGTCCCACCTTCTGGAGCCAGAAAGCTCCACGTCCAGGTTCTGGTTTTCCTTGGTCCTACAGCCTGTTGGATGTCACAGCCCTGCTGGTTTCTTGGTTTAGGGGACAGAGTGGGCAATAAACAAGTAGAAAATGGCGGCAGCAATTTAGAGGAATCTGAATTCTGGATTTGCAAGGCGCAGAGGATTAAGGGATGGTGGATGGAGGATCCGGACGGGGAGGCCCAGATGTAGGAGCACGGAGGGGCAAAACCAGGAGGCACCTTGTGTTCCTGATTCCTTGGCCTGGCACTGCTGGAGGGGGAAAGGTACATTCAGGTCAGAGAAGCCCGGTGGTTCAGTTCCCTGGGTACAAACTGCTTGTCACATCTTAGTGCTGGTGTTGGACATGGAGGCTGGTCTGACATGGCCCCTTGGCTGTGTGGTCTCACCTTTGTCCCTTCCTTACCTTCCCAGCCGGGCTACTTCCTCTGGGTGAGCACCCCTGCTCTCGGCCAGCTGCCCTTGCACAGCAGGGAGCTCTGTCCTAGGGGACCCTGGCTTTGGAAAACAGATTGTCCCGGCCTATATCACAGGCGAGGCCAGATGTTCACACTCCTGCTTGCCCCCCGCCATATGATTTCTGGGTCTTTTCCTCCAGTTCTCTGTTCCTAAAAAGCAAGCTGGATTTTGGCAGAACAGTGCTTTCTAACCAGAAGTGCTTTTGCAATTAATGCTAGACAAAAAGTCAAAATAAGCATTTATGTGGAGATTTCATTTATTCAAATGTATATGCATTGGAAATTTTTATTTTTTCACCAAGGGTCTTACTGAGTGTGTTTTAAGCCCATTACTATGTCTCAAGAGGCCAGCCTTGCCCACACAGTGAAGAAAATGTTCTCTAGGCACTCAGTCTCCCTTTGGAAAGAGAATCAGTCCTTAGGTTTGCTTATTAAATGCAGACTTTCCACGTTGTCATGAACAAAACAAGAAGGTGGGATATCTTAACACAGGCCAGGACCAGCCCTAAGGCCTCTGTGCTGGCTCTTTTCCTGCCTGAACCGTCCGTCCCCATCCCACGGCTGGTTTAGCTTTGTCACGTGTGTTTAGCTCGGCAGTCGCAGGCCAACTGACTGCCCGGCCCAGAGGGGCAACCTGCTCATCTGAACTCCTCGCTTCAGTTGGTTTTCCCCCTTTTCCCAGAGTGCTTCCTGTGTTTGACATGTTCTTGTCCCATTCTTGCTGGCGGTTTTCTTGTGGGTTTGCCACGTTGGAGTCACACTCCGGGACAGGAAATGGGCCTGTGCCAGTCTTCAGTCCCCGCCGTGCCCCAGCCTCGAGGACCACAGCAGATACACAGCAGATGCACAGCAGCTCAGGAAAGATGTGAATGCGGATGGGTCTCTCGGAGCCGAGAGAGTGCAGGCATGGGTGTTCGGGGAGCCTGGCGCCAGCACCTTGCACATCAGGGCTGATCCCCGGTTTGAGCCAGGTCGCTGGGTTTTCTGTCGTTCACAGTGAAGATAACCCAGATGTGTTGATACCCAGATCCTCTGGATGCGCTCATCATGTTTGTGTTTGCGAACAGTAGATGAACATGATGGAAACTAAGACCGAGGGCTTGAAGTGTAAGTGCCCCAGACGTATCACCTGCGCGCCTTCCCAGCATCCACCTTCGGGCCGCCGGGAGGAGCTCTCAGAGACCCAGCTTCTGGTTCCCAAGCCTCTTGAGTACTTGTCAGCATCACAATTGTATAATTCACATAATAAGAGAAAATAATGGAAAATGAGCACTTGACAAAACACTTAGACTATATGAACCCCTTTTAAGCAGAGCTCTCACGATTCATGGGTCCCATCCTGTGTTTTCCTAAATGGTAGTGTGGCCTTGCCCACAGATGCAAGGAGACTCCTGCCAAGTCTGCAGCAGCGCAGTCTCCAGAATCCCACCCTCAGCTCTGTGCCGCGCATGCTGGACCCGGGGGTCGCCCCGTCGGCTCACGGGTCCTGCGCTGTGGGCAAGACATGGGGCCTCTCGGGCTTTAGCGGCCTCATCTTTAGAATGAGAGTGTCGAGCGTGTTGGCTTCTAGGGCCTGACCTGTTCTAACATTCTGTTTCTTAGGAAGCTCACTGCTTGCCATCACTTAGTCTTTTTCTATTTATAAAAGTAAACTTACCCATCTTGGAAGTTCTGGAAAGTGAGACGTATGAAGGGCATCACCCCCTCACCCCACCTCTTAAGCAGCCTTGACACTGCCCCTTATTTACTTTCAGTCTTTCTTCTGTGCAATTGTAAAACACAGCTAAGATTAACAGCATAAGCTACAAACCCCACATGTGCAGCTGAGAGCATCAGTGCTGCCCTCCTCCTGCGGTGTGGTCCAGCATCTACCTCATCTCTGAACAGCGTGTGCTCATCCGTGAGTGGGCAGAGTGATAGTGCCCCCTGTGGATTTGTTGCTTTGAAGGTGAATAAAGCAGCGTGAATTTCTAAATCATACCACTCATAAAAATAAATTCCAGGCTAATTAAATATCTAAACTTAAATGTAAAGGAATTTGGAGAGAAGAGAATGTTTGATGACATTGGGGTAGGAAGGATGGGCAGGGCCCTGAATTGAAGGAGGAATTTACTCCCTCATCCCCCCGGCGAGCGTCAGGTTTCGATTGGTCGGTCCGGAATCCTGATGAGCCCCCCCGGGACAGCTGCTGTGGGATGCGTCTCTGAGCAGCAGCGTAAGCTAGTGTGTTCCAAGTGTCTTAATTTCTGTGTGTTCTTTTCTAATATTTGACACCATGCATTGACGATTTCATTCAGTATTACTTAAATCGTTTTTGGAACATTAGGATAAATGTGTATTACAGCACTTGTCTCCTGCCTCTCCAGTCAGCCTCTGGGATGCTCGGGGGAGTGCTTAGTGCTCCCGTGATGCAGGCAGCAAGCGTGTCACCCTAGTTCTAACGCAGACAAGTACAAGTGTCCCATGTTCCCTGTGGGCCAGACCCCATCACACACTGTCTGAACTCTGAAGTAGCAGACAGTGCGCTCCCCATGTTTGCGAATGAGAAGACTGAGGCTGCCCAAGAGGAAGTGATTCCCCCCATCCAGTCCCACAGCCCGTTCTGGAAGAGCTGAGCCTGATAGAGAATTATCTCCATTAGCTTCAAATCTCTTTCCACTTCTGCCCTCCTCCCTGCCCCATTCTCACACCCAGGCCCCACTGGGCTGGAGACTCCCTGAGGCTAGGGCTGCACGTTCCAGTTGGGGAGAGGTCAGCCTTTCGGTAAGAATGCATCACCTGCACCAGTGAATGGATGACCATTAAAAACGGAAACAGTTGCTCTCAGAAGGTTTAACAAGCTTATTCAGGGCTCCAGATCCGGGCAGAGGTAAAGTGGGTGCTTGGACCGTGGCCTCTGCCCCAAGAGCCCAGCTGGCTTCCCTGCATTTCAGTTGCCCTCTGTACACACGGGTTCCATATCCACCATGTGTTCAGCCAGCTGGGAATTTTGACCCCTGGGAACCAATCCCCTGCAGATACCAAGGGACTGCAGCAGACTAGAGAGAATAGCACTGTTCACTCTTTTCACACCCCATCCTCCCCAACCCAGCCCCTAAGCCGCCGGGGTGGGGGCTGTGGAGCAGGCAGCCTACCCTCCGGACCCATTGGGGAGGGTCCTGCCTGTAAGTTCTGTAGGTCTGCCCTCCCACCGTCCTTCAGCCATCACTTGGCCTCCCTCGTTCCCATCCAGTGACACACACATACCTCCCCCCAGACCTCACGTAAGGAGACAGAAACGTGACGACGGAGGACTGCAGCTAGAAAAGGCTGAGGACAAAACTCAGGAAGGGAGCCAGTGCAGCTAAAACCACAAAAGAGCTTACATTTGGTGAAGAAATGTATTGGAGAGACGATAAAACGGCAGACACATTTAAAAAAAACAGTAACCAGGTCCAGGGCTGGCAAACGGAGCTCTCCATCCACACCCACACCCACAGCAGACATCGGTAATCAACGCCAGCACTCTTGCTGGCTGAGCCTGAGAAACCTTCACACTGAATTGTAAGGAACCAGGACTGGATGATCTTATTAGACGTGAGATGAAGCATCCACCTTGCTGCCGGAGGAGCAGAACTGAGGCTCTCTCCCTTCACCTCTTCTCTTCCTGGGGAGCACTACCACACATATCCTCTCCCTCCCGCCAAGGCCCCTGGGAAGCACTTGGCTTGCAGGTGACTCTTTCAGAATTTCAGTTCTGATTCTCGTACACCCTGCTCCCAGCGGGAAAACCCAGTGGTGATTGCTGAACTCACTTCTCGGGTATCTGGATCTAACTCAGCCAGTGTTCCGAATACAACGGGTACCAAGGCCTCCAGTCATTTTCAGAATGGTTTTTTTGGGGGGTGGGGAGCTGTCCCGGGGAAGTCTTCAAAATAAATCTTACACAGAACCCCATGTGTAAAAGCAGGAGGAAGAGGTTGGTGTCACCTGCCACAGCGTTCTCTAATGGGCACCGCCTACCTGACCCCACTCTTCTCCTGCACTGAGGGCGGGGTGACAGCCTCAGCTTGGTTGGCTTCCATATTCTGCTGATACCTTCTGTCTTTCCTCCTGATAATAATGGCTCAAATTTGTTGACCTGTTTTATTAAATGCTGTGGAAATTGTAAAATGTTTCCCCAAAGTTCTTCAATGCCCCATTAAGAGAAGGCGTCTCTGTAGGTCTCCTTGAATCTGGGATCTGGGACAGCTGGGTGAACACTGCCAGCTTGCATGAAGAGGCTAAGAAACTGGCAGCTTCCACCTCATCTGCTCAGATCCCTTAGAGCCCGGCCACCGCGCTGTGAAGAAGCCCGAGCTTCCCAGGCAGAGGCCCAGCCGCGAGGAGCCAGCACCACCACCTCGCCAGCCTTGCGGGTGCACCATTGAAGTGGGTCCCCCAGCCCCAGATGAGCCGTCTCAGCCAGTGCCTCCTGGAACAGAGACGGGCCGTCTCCACTGAGCCCTGCCCAGACTGCAGTCAGGAGTGAGATGAATGAATTTTGCTGCTTTAAATTTGGAGCGTGATTTAGTCTTCATTAATAATCAGTTGCATAATTTCATTGACATTATAGATAATGATATTCGTGTATAAATGGTATGATGTATTTATAAATACATATATAGTACTGAAGGTACAACTTCAGAATACAAATTATATTCATAGATATGCAAGTGCATAATGTCACTTCACCCTCACAGTCACTTCAGAAGGACGTCCCTCTTCACAGACTGATAACCAGGAGACTTGTCCATATTCCCCCCAGCTTCCCTAGTGAAGCCGAGACTCAGGTTGCAGCTGATGGTAGACTAAGCCAGAGTTACCCACGTATCTGTCTTGTGTCACTGTGGGTCACCTGCACCTTGCAGACAAAACCAGGGGCGCTTTCTAGAAGAGGAATGCGGGGTCGGGGGTGGCGGTTTCCCCCAGGGTGCACATGCTGGTGGCAGAGACACACTTGGGGCCAGGTCTGCTCAGTTCAGAAGCCTGCAGGAGAGTCTCTAGGCAGTGTTCCCACTCTGTGTCACGTCTGTCCTGCTGCCTTCAGCCCTGGTCTGCACATCACTAAGTAGCTCCCCTTGTTGGAAGCCCAACATGTGATGGTCATCGGGCCAGCTTTGCCTCTTTTGCTGGAAATAGCCCTGTATTTTACTGCATGTGTGGATGAAGAGACTGAGGCACTGAATTGTGATGCGTTGTTCCCTGGCACATGGCGGAGCCCGGCTTGTCCCCATCCCATGCCGTGTCCTCCCCTGCAAGTCCCATCATTTTGCCAGTCCTTGTCATCATCCTAGGTTTTCAGCAGAGACAGCCTCGGCAATCTTGCAGACAAGCAGAGGCTTCTGCATAGTGGAGCCCATGCTCCCGTTCCTCTTAGTGGGTGGGGTAGGATTTCTTCTTGTGAATGGAATCCTTTATTTTCGATGTCCATAAATCATGAAGGGT